AAGAAATTCGGTGCAATCAAGACGTTTGGTATGAAACAGGGCTTCAAGTTTGGTAAAATGGGCGGTAAATTCGCAGCTGGAGGTGTCGCCGGTGCCGCAGGTCTGACCACTCACTAAAAATTGTTTGCGAAATTTCATTTAATTATTAATATACTGTAATATTACAGGCAAAAAGGGAGCCAAGTTTGGAGCCGCCGGAGCCGCAGGTTTCAAAAAGGGAGTTAAAGGTTAGTTTCAGTGTTTAATGGAAAGTGAATTGTTATTTTAATTTGATTTGTTTTGACACAAATAGCGGGTAAGAAGGGAGCGGCCGCTGCCGGAGGGGCCAAAGGTGTTAAGAAAGGTTTCGCTGCGGCCAAAGCCGCCGGTAAGAAAGGCGGTGCAGTCGGCGCTAAATTTGCGGCCAAAAAGGCCGTCGCAAAGGCTGGCAAAGGAATCGGTCGATAAATTAAGCCAAACTCTCAGCATTCGCCCAAATCTCACGAATTATATACTTATTATAATATTAATTATTACTTTTGATTTGTTTTATTATATTTTTCTTTTGTTGTTTCAAATTAAGCCAAAGTTTAAAACTTTTTAATTGTTATTTTATGATATAATCAAATATTTTATTTTATACTTTTGTATTTCAATTAAGAAAATATGTAAAAATTAATAAAATGTGATTCAATTGAAAACCAATCTTATTCATATTTTCACTTTTATATTATAACTATATTTTACAATTTAACTAAATTTAACTGTATACAGACATTTTAATCCAAAATCGTTTGAATATTAATCTAAAACTTATAACCCGAGTGAGTGAAGTACCCCAAGTATGGGGGCGTTTATATATTTGCCCACTTCTCTGGCAAACACAAAGTCTCCGTGTGTCCAATGCTCGTACGGAATCACATGTCTTACAATTGGTACTAAAGTATTAATTACACGCTAATTATCTACTAATTATATAAATTTAATAATCAAATAATAATGTACCTGTTAATTGATCGACGAGTATATCGACATCAGTGGGATCTGCGATCCAATCGTTCAAACCATTCATTATTACAATATATTTGGAGTCAATACTAGAAATATTATAATTGGGAGCCGTTTGTTGTCCATAAACTCTTTGATTCATTTCTGACGAGTTATACGAAAAATAGGAAAAGTTTTCATTCATTATTCGTTGGATGACATGCGATACGGCTATCGTTGAGCTGCTGTCAGGAAAGTGTGCAAACAATCGGGGAGTTTGTGTCTAAATAGAGATTAAATTTGATTGTATTTTTAAGTGATTTATTTAAATACAATAAATACTCGATTGAGTTGTGGATAATCAAAACCGCCAAACAGGAAACCAAATATCACACATATCTCTTTAAACATTGCAAATCCACAAAAATACCGACCAATTAATGGTGAGAGCGAACCCAATCTGGCCAATGGCTTCGGATTTGAACTATTTATTAAATTTAACTTTTTTTTTTAAATGTTTTATAAAAAAAATTATTTGTACCTAAGGATTGGCTCCAAAGACATAGGGATTCGTAAAAGTGGTGATAATATATGGCTTATATATACAAATGGACCCAAAGATATAAATGGTTTAATTATATTTGAATAGTTTGGTTTTGATGACAACAATTGATACATCATTGTTGTGCCCAAAGAATATCCAATATAACCGATTGTCTCTTAAAAATGTGGAAAATGCATTAATTAACTGTAATGAGCAATTACAATACAATATGTAATTGTGAAATACCACTATTAGTTACTCTAATGACATGTTCAATAGCACTTGTTATATCATATTTAGTGAACTCGTCCATTGAAAATGTCCAATATTTCATGTCTTGGTAAAAATGTTAGATTTAATTTAGAAAGAATCAATAACTGTGTTTTAAAAATGTTGTTTACCTCTGTCTGGATCCAAAGCAATATGTGATGAATACCTGTTACCTCTTATATTTCCTAACCAGACATCA